CAGAGCGGCTTACAAACTCCTTTCCCTTCCCCTCCACACAACAGACACCCTGTGCGGTAGGCAGGGCTGAGAGAGCTCTGACAGAAACTGTTCCTTTTTCAAGAACAGCTCTGACAGGACTATGGCTTGCCCAAGGTCAACCAGCAGCTGCAAGTGGAGGAGTGGGGAATCAAACCCGGTTCTCCCAGATTAGAGTCTGCACATTTAACCACTACATCAGAGTTCTCTCTGTCAACTCTCTCCACCCCATGCATCATTTTATAAACTTCTAAACTTTTATTCTTATGATCTCCAGCAGCTGCAAGTGGAGGAGTGGGGAATCAAACCCGGTTCTCCCAGATTAGAGTCTGCACATTTAACCACTACATCAGAGTTCTCTTTGTCAACTCTCTCCACTCTCTCCATCATTTTATAAACTTCTAAACTTTTATTCTCATGATCAAACCAGGAGGTTTCCAACTGTTTTTCCTCCTCCATTATGTATTTATTAATTAAATATCCCAACTTTCCTTGTGGTTCAAAGTGGCTTACAGTAAGTCAAAAACATTTTCAGTTAAATCCAAAAATAAAAGAGAAAACCCCAAATCCCCCCCCTCACCCTTAAAAGATGCCTGCCATTCAAACCCCCTTAAAAGGCCTGGCAAACAGGTAGGCCTTGCAGCGCCTCCCACGTCTTCTACTTGTTTCTGCTTTACGTGTTGCTGTGGTTTGTATATCACAGGGTGTCTTGGCTTTAGCCCCAAAGAGTGCCCTGCATGCCACTAGGTGGGACTGAAACAGGGTCCACCGGCAGAGATAGGGGTGCAGGGTTGCCAGATCCAGGTTGGGAAACTCCTGGAGATTTGGGGGTGGAGCCTGGGGAGGACAGGGACCTCAGTGGGGTATAATGTCACAGAGTCCACCCTCCAAAGCATCCCTTTTCTCCAGGGGAACTGATCTCTGCAGTCTGGAGAGGAGCTGTCGTTCCAGGGGATCCCCAGGTCCCGCCTGGAGGCTGGCCATCCCTAGACTGAAATGTTTCAAAACAGGGCAAGCATCAAGAGTCCCGGTCCTCCTCCTCCTTTCGGATCACACGGAGGACAACCCCCTGTGGTCCCTTGTGGAGATCAGGAAGAGATGCCTTCTCTGGTTCTTTGCAGAGCCTGGTGCCCATTTTAACAGAAGCGTTCCGTGCACCTTGGTGTTTAGTCATGCCGGCCACATGACCACAGAAACGTCTTCGGACAGCGCTGGCTCTTCGGCTTGGAAACGGAGATGAGCACCGCAACCCTAGAGTCGGACTCGACTGGCTTTCGAGCAAGGGAACCTTTACCTTTACATTACCTTCAGGAGATCCCCCATAGAGGAAGCACAAAGGAAGTCTCACCGCCGCATTGCGGCTCTGGAGCAGGGGCTTGGTGTTACGCAGGAGCAGGCGGTGGTCGGGATCCATCACGTAAGGCTTGCGTTTCACCAGAGACGCTGGCTCCGCCTTGTCGTCCTTGGAGTCTTCCTCTTCGGACCCATAGAAGGCCTTTTCGGCGTTCTCTTCCAGAAGGGACTCCTGCCGGGCACAAAGAGAACAGGAGGACACGACACAATCTGTTTTATGTCTTGGTATTTTATTGGGTTGTTTTAATTTATTTTTAATCTGGGATTTGTATAATATTTTGTTGCAAGCCGCCCTGAGCCCTACTTGCAGGGAAGGGCGGCCCAGCAAGTCTAATGTAATGAATAAATAAATAAAATCCTGGCTGCACAAGGCTACCGCAGAGGGCGTCTTCTCCACTACAGCTGGCTCTATGAGAAAAAAATGAGCTCAACAAAGAAAATCAGACTGAAAAGTCCTCGTTTTTCAAGTTCCCGAACAGTATTTAGCACTCCTTCATTTGGAAACATGTAGATCCAAGAAATGTGAGAGATAAAGAGAATGTGCCTTCCTAGGATTAAACAGCAGTTTCATATGTCTTTTTCAACTCTCTCTCTCTGTTGGAGGAAAAGAACAAATACTCACCACTAGCAGGAAATCAATGCAACCTCTTCCCAAAGCTCTTAGTGATCCACATTATTGTCCTCCTCTCGGGAAAATGAAGGTTAATTATTTCTATATTGATGTAAGACACACGTTTTGTTTTAAAACAGCTACGTCAAGAGATTGGTGACAAATGCCAACAGAGAGACAGAGTTGAAAAAGACATACGAAACAGCTGTTTAATCCTACGAAAGCACGTTCTCTTTATCTCTTACATTTCTTAGATCTGCATGTTTCCAAATGAAGGAGTGATAAATATTGTTTGGGAACTTGAAAAACGAGGACTTTTCAGTCTGTTTTGTACATTTCACAGCTCAGTCAGGACGTCTTAAAGAATAAACATTCCAGGAGCATAGCCAAAGCAGTGTTAAAAACTACTATATCAAGATTTTGCATTGTTTTGTAGTGTATTTATGTTGCTATTTACTGGCTTTGCTTATCTCCATGAAATGCACTTCACACAAGAATGAACGTTGTTTAATACAGGAAATTTGTTACATAAGTACAACTAAGTGTGTTAAAATGATAGAAGAGTGATTTTCTTTGGTGAGCTCGTTTTTTCTATTGTATTCACACCAAAGACTGTCTTGTTTTTTGGCTCTATGAGAAAGGTAGGGGGGTGGGAGATGGGGTACGGCAGCCCTTAGCCACCACTCTGCTATCCTACCTTCCTTCTTTCACAGGCTTCTTTAAAGACAGAGTGGAAGCAATGTTCCCTCTAAGCTGTGGAGTCTTGTGAGCAAAAATTCTACTTTGTGAGCTACTGGCATTAAAGTTGTGAGCAAGTGATTTGGCTGCTGCAGAAATTAGTTTGCTCTGGAGCCATCCTTCCTGAGCTGAGACAAAAATGTGTGAGCCAGAAGCTAAAAAGCTGTGACCTAGCTCATACTAACTCAGCTTAGAGGGAACTCTGGTGGTAAGCAATGTTCCCTCTAAGCTGTAGAATCTTGTGAGCAAAAGTTCTACTTTGTGAGCTACTGGTGTTAAAGTTGTGAGCAACTGACCTGGCTGCTGCATAAATTAGTTTGCTCCGGAGCCCTCCTTCCTGAGCTAAGACAAAAATGTGTGAACCAGAGGCTAAGAAATTGTGAGCTAGCTCACACTAACTCATCTTAGAGGGAACAGTGGTGGTAAGCCACACATAACCCAGAATGTGAGAGTTTAGAAAGTTCCACTGGCAGGGCTGGCCCGAGGTTTTTTTGAGCCCTAGGTGGGGCTACCTTCTGCCCACCGTGCCCCAATCACAGGGTTGCCAACCTCCAGGCGGGGCCTGGAGAGAAGGAGCACACCACACCTTGGCTGCTTCTCTGCACACGCTGGGGGGCACTCTGCTCCCATGACATCCCCTGCCACCATTGGAACGAGGGGTGCCATGCCTGATCTGCCTTGGGGATCCCTTTGGCTGGCCCTGGGTGGGAGAGAGAGACGCCGCCGACGCCGCCCCCACCCCCCAGGCAGCCCTACCTGCCGGCAGGAGGAGACTGAGCGCCAGGCCTAGCAGCACCCAGGCGGGCAGCTGGGAGGGTCTCATCCTGGACGTGTCTCCAGCTGCCTCAGCCCCTCTCCTGCTCACCCTCCCTGCAGCCTTGGCACTGCCTCCTGAGCGGCTCCATGGTTGTGCCGACGAGCCGCCCCCCCATCCACCTTTCCGTGGGAGCCAATGGGAAGGGCGCCCGTGCGCATCATCAGTCTCTGGGAGAAACCTGGCTGCCTGGCTTGCCCCACCCCAGGGCCTCTGCCCACGGAGTTCCCACTTCTCTCCCCCAGATGGACCCAGCCTGCCGGGCTTGGTGCACCAGCGGGCTCCCTTCCCTCTCGCAGCCTTGCCGCCGGTTGGGTTGGGGAGCCGCTGTGCCTCTTTTGGGGGGCGAGGTCAGGTCACCTCCAGCTCCGCTGCAGCTTGCTAGTTGTGGCCGGCAGTCGCAGGCCTCCCACGTGGAGCCTCCTCCTCCTTCCTCGGCCCACCTGCTCCAGACGGCGCAGCACAGCGTGACTCCCCCACTGGCAGACAGATTGATGTTGCTCGCCTTTCATCTGACTGGCAGCAGTGGCGTTTGGGGGAGGGGAGGGGAGGAAGAGGAGGAGGCTTTTGGCGGGGGGGGCATTTCCCCCCCCTAAGGGCTGGCACACTCTAGGTGAACACCTAGTTCGCCTAGTGAGCGAGCCGGCCCTGCCCTCTGGGCATGTGCAGCTTAAAGTGCTACCTTTTAGGATGCAAAGGGAAGGAGGAGTGAAGGAGAGTCAGCGGCTCCAGTTCCTGAGCAGGGACAGTGAGAGCTGGGGCAGTGAGGGCAAAGGAAGGCATGCCTGCCAGTCTTCTTCACGCATGCAATGCTCGCAACTTTTACTTCAGAACCCTTCTTGCTTGCGCCAAAAAGCAACATATCAGGCCATACTGCATCGGGTGAGCGGTAGAAAGACGCCCAGATCCCGGCACCAGTATGGCCCTCGCAGTCTGAACAATCTTGTCCGCCTCGCTCACTCCCTCACTTACGTTTTGGGTCGGGCTCAGGAACTGGGTGCGAGCATATCGCGTGAGCATGTTAATGATGACCACCTGCCCCCACTCCTCCACGTCGATCAGCAGGTTGCAAAGCTTGCGGTAGTTCTTGTGGATCAGGTCGATGCGCTCCGGGCAGACCTCCTCGAAGGCCATCACCACACTGCCGGCCACCAGCTGGGCAAGAAGAGGAGGGAGGAGAGGGTTAAAAAAAGAGGAGGTTTGTGAACATTTGTGCAGGGCTCTCGAAGCACAAGAAGGGCTGTATTTTCAGTTCTCCGAGCAGCCAACAGAAGGGACCCGTGGGAGAAGCTGTGGCTCACTGGCAGAGCATCTGCTTGGCATGCAGAAGGTCCCAGGTTCAATCCCCGGCATCTCCAGTTTAAAGGATCAGACAGTAGGGGATGTGAAAGACCTGAGTGTCTCAGTGGCAGAGCATCTGCTTGTAATGCAGAAGGACCCAGGTTCAATCCCCGGCATCTCCAGTTTAAAGGATCAGGCAGCAGGGGATGTGAAAGACCTTGCTCTGAGACCTTGGCTCACTGGCAGAGCATCTGCTTGGCATGCAGAAGGACCCAGGTTCAATCCCCGGCATCTCCAGCTTAAAGGATCAGGTAGGAGATGATGTGAAATACCTCCACCTGATACCCTGGAGAGCCGCAGCTGGTCTGAGTAGACAATACTGATGGACCAAGAGTCCAATTCAGTGTAAGGCACATTCATGTGATGAACAGCAGTACAATCCTAAGTGGAGTTACCCCTTCCAAGCCCACTGGTTTCAATGAACTCTGAAGGGCTCGACTCTGCTTAGGACCGCAGTGCAAAAGATGCCAAAGTGACATCCGTCAGTGAGACCCTTCCTCCTAAAACGGACTGATTCCCTTTTATCACGAAAGCAGCACAATTGGGGGGGGGGGATCACACGCAAGCCAAAGCTTTCCACAAGCCCAGAGGTCCCTTCCAGGCAGGCCAAGAAATGACTCTAAATGTAGAAAGAGAGAAACGAACAAAAAAAGTGACGGAAGAGGACTGAGAATAATCCAGGAGGCGCGGAATGTCGAGTGCGGCTGAGACAGGGTGAAAGGGGAAAAGGGCTGGGTGTGTGCCTGAAACCCTGCAGAGATACCAGCCTTACTCACCGTGGTCTTATCTGCCAACAACTTCTCAATGACCTCTATCAGTTGATCCTTTTGGTCCGAGTCGAGGCTGCAAGGAAGAGACACCAACGTCGTAAGTAGAGGACACCAACAGAGGCCCGCAGCTATTGTGGCGAAGACGTGAAGATGAGTGGATACTCCTTGCTTTCTGTAGGGGAATTTTAGGGGTCCAGACCTCTCCCAGAGATCCCCAGCCCCATTAGGGTTCTTTTCTATGGGTGGGTGGAGTCTGGCTGGGGAACTCAGGCCTCCGGAGGGAGAGAAACACAGCGAGAACCTTCGCCTTAAACTAAATGTATTTATTAACTCTAAAACCTTACACAAGTAAAACTCAATAGCATATATTCAATATCAATTCCCAATAGCATATAGAGAGACCCCAATACCTGATATAATGTACACTTCAGGAAGAGCAAGGAATTGCTGGACTGTGGACCAAGACCTCACTCAAGCCTAGGAGGGGTGTTGGCCAAACAGCCCCGAACAAAGCCCGAAGCCTTCTTTTTATTCTCTTTTCAGCCAACAGGAATCAAAGGAGGAGTCAATTAAAAATACACCAAACTTGAGAAATACCAGTCTATGTAGGGTTGCCAAGTCCTACCTGTTGCTGCAGCGGGGGACTCCCGGCTCGCTCCTGGAGTGCGCGCACTCGAGCAAAGTGCGCGTGCGCCACAACCATGTCACCCCAGAAGTGATGCGACCACGCCGGGCACGCTGGGGGCGGGGCCACAACCATCCGAGGGGAAACCATAGAGTTTTCCCTCGGATAACCGTGGCCCCGCCCCCAGCGTGCCCGGTGTGGTCGCATCACTTCCGGGTGACGTGCACGTCACGTACTTTGGGGGTGGGGTTCCCCCTGGGGCCCGATCCGCCGGAGGCGGAAAGCCACCCTCGCACTTGGAAGGCTGTGGAATGTACATTCAGGCAAAGGTTACAGGGCAAGGCTTTAGTTTTTACGCCTGGGCTGCCCGCAAAAGAGCAAAGGCTCATGGGATTTCTGAACCAAGAAACCAAACTCAGAGGCAATTAATGGGTGGGTGGGTACATCACATGCCGTCCCTTTTTTTTTTTTTTTAAACTATACTAGTTTTGTTTTTAATTTGGCTTTTCTTGGTTACCTTATGCAGACCTTGGTTTAGACGACACGAATTGCCTTGAGGACCATGAGGGCAAAGGATGGGCGAGAAATGTTCTAATATTTTAATTATTAATAGCTTAATGGAGGGGCTGTGGCTCAGTGGTGGAGCATCTGCTTGGCGTGCAGAAGGTCCCAGGTTCAATCCCCAGCATCGCCAGTTATAAGATTTGCCAGTAGGTGGTGGAAAAGACCTCAGCCTGAGACCCTGGAGAGCCACTGTCGGTCTGAGTAGACAATACTGACTTTGATGGACTGTGGGTCTGATTCTGTATAAGGCAGCTTCATGGGTTCATCATTTCATTCTTTGCTTCCTAATTTTCTTGCCAATGTGCAAAAAAATCCTGCCACCCCCCCCAAAAAATAGCAACAATGCAGAATACAGAACAGCTGGATTTTCAAACAGAATCTACATGTCTTTTTTATTTATTTTGAGCAGTTAGACAAAGAGAAATTCAAAGTCCAGCGGCCCCTTTAAGGCCCATCAAGTTTAATTCCGGGTATAAGCTTTCGTGATGAAGTGTGCATGCACACAAAAGCTGATACCCAGAATTAAACTTGGCTGGTTTTAAGAAGAAGAAAAAGAAGAAGAGATTGGATTTATATCCTGCCTTTCACTCGAATTCTCAGGGCGGCTTACAACCTCCTTTCCCTTCCCCTCCCCACAACAGACACCCTGTGAGGTAGGTAGGGCTGAGAGAGCTCTTTCGAGGACTGCTTGTGAGAGAACAGCTCTGAGATAACTTGTGACTGACCCAAGGTCACACCAGCAGCTGCATGTGGAGGAGTGGGGAATCAATCCACTACACCAAACTGTCTTAAAGGTGCCGCTGGACTCAAACTTTGTTCTGTTGCTTCAGATCAACACGGCTAGCCAAAGAGAAATTCAGTTTGACTTCCTGGCACAGTATCAAAAATTGTGAGAAACCATCGACCACGTTTCAGAGACACCAGCCCAGAACTCCAGCGAGTCTCTCTGTTTCTCAAGGGCCACCCTTCCCTGCTGGAGGGTTCAGCCCACCCTATCAGTGGGACACATCTGCCGAAGGGAGTTGCTGCCACACAGTCTCTCCCAAAGCCGATCTGCAGCTTAGAGAAAAGCTCCTGAAACCTGCGCTGGAAGCTCTCAGCGGTTTGTAGTCAATATTACGTGAAGGGACGTCCCTCTGACATGCTTCTGAGTGGCAGCGCTCGGACCTGGGGAGACCAACCCACTTAGATAGTCCAGTAAAGCCAGACGGTTGGTGGAACTCCCTCATTTGCTCTTAATACCACTTTCATTTGTAAACTGAAGTATCGGAATGAGCCAGTGTGCACAATTCAGGAAGCTGTTCTACATTACAAGTTTATTTACTTCTTTCATACCACACACATGAAGACACATGAAGCTGCCTTTTACTGAATCTGACCATCGAGGTCAGTACTGACAACTCAGACTCGCAGCGGCTCTCCAGGGTCTCAGGCAGAGGACTTTTCCATCACCTGCTGCCTGGTCCTTTTAACTGGAGATGCCAGGGATTGAACCGGGGACCTTCTGCATGCAAAACAGAGACTCCTCCACTGAGCCACGGCCGCTCCCCAATAGGGACCCAAAGCAGCTTACATTATTCTCCTCCATTTATTCCTCACAACATCCCCGTAAGGTAGGTTAGGCTGGGAGAGTGTGACTGGCCCAAGGTCACCCAGCAAGCTTCCATGGCAGACTGGGGATTCGAACCCAGAGCCCAGTCTGCCACACTAATCGCTACACTATACCACCAACTAATAATAAACAATTACCGTGCAGCATTGTGTGTGGTATAGCCAGGAGATCCTAAGATTATCTGGCAGCGTGAAGCTGCTAAAATTGTCTGGCAGCCAGTTTGGTGTAGTGGTTAGGAGTGGTGGACTCTAATCTGGAAAACTGGGTTTGATTTCCCACGCCTCCACATGCAGCTGCTGGTGCAACCTAGGATCAGTCACAGTCTCTCAAGAGCTCTCTCAGCCCCACCTACCTCACAGGGTGTCTGTTGTGGGGAGAGGAAGGGAAGGAGATTGTAAGCCGCTCTGAGACTCTGAGTGAAGGGCGGGGTATAAATCCAATATCTCCTCCTCCTCCCCTAGCTCTTTTAGGTGGTGAGCTAGGCTTATTCTTTGGGCTGAGAGAGCTCTGAGAGAGCTGTGACCGACCCGAGGTCACTCAGCTGGCTTCATGTGGGAGAGTGCGGAATCGAACCCGGTTTTTCAGATTAGAGTCCGTCGCTCTTAACCACTACACCACGCTGGCTCTCCCACTATACCACTACATTTTAAAAATCCTTATAGAGTTTGAATGCTAGCACAGTCCCCTCTCCTTTTCAAGGGGACCAGGAAGATGTGAAGAAAGACTGGGCTGGATCTTGCGATGTCCTTCTATTAAGTTGGATCCTTATGACACTCCTTCCACGAAACCTTCCTTCGACAGAGAAAGACTTCCTTCAATGGAGAACTACTTCTTCCGAAGGAGAAAGGCTTCCTCTGATGAAGAAAACTCTTTGTCAAAGAAAACCTTTGTCCGTGGGAGAAAGACTTGAAAGGGAGTCGTGAGACCCAACCTACCCTGTCAAAGTGCCTCTTTTGTGCATTGAAATGCCCCACTGACCTCCAATCCGTACGCTAAAGTTCAAATACCGGTTTGATGTCTACATTTTTAAAAACACAGCAAGAAGAAAAGAAGCAAAGAGTCACAAGTGACATCTGAAGTGAGGCCTCTTAAAGTGTGCTATAAGTCGGAGGTGTCGAACTCATTTGTTACGAGGGCCAGATCCGACATCAATGTCACTTTGTTGGGCCGGGCCACGTATGCCACAAAATGTAACAAAAAAAATCTGGACACACACAACCCAATCAGTTGAACAAGTATAAAGCCAACAGTCATGATAGTCTGACCCACAATCAAACAGTCCTGAGACTTATAAAGAATGCTGTTTATGTATTGCAATCTAAAGCACTATAACATGATACACAACGTCGTCTCCGGATTACATAACAACATTTCAAAAAATGAATCTTCTTCAGGAGATATTCTGTAGTGTACAAAAATACAATTTTTAGAATATGTGCTACACCAATAACAAGAGACAAGAGACAATACAATAATCTTAGTGCTTACTTACATAGCGGTGCCAAAGCTCTCAGTTTCATAAATGTTAGACAACAAGTCTTATTGTGTTATTGGTGTAGCACATATTCTAAAAATTGTATTTTTGTACACTACAGAATATCTCCTGAAGAAAATTCATTTTTTTGAAACGTCGTTATGTAATCGGGGGACGACGTTGTGTATCATGTTATAGTGCTTTAGATTGCAATACATAAACAGCATTCTTTATAAGTCTCATGACCATAAAATGTAACGCCAGGTACTGGTGATATCTACTTTATATAGAATACAGGAAAACACATTTAACAATATTAGTTTGTACTCAAAATACAAACAAAAGCAATTGATTCCTAGCAGTGAAAGCAATCGATTTACAAAAGCCCCAATAAATGTATTTAATCATATGCAAGACTAGGTTTTTCCCCTCAAGGGATACCATAAAAGGGGGAGCACTTTACATTTCCAAACATACCAGTTGCTTATGGGCCGGTTGCAGCCCCCCGGGCCTTATGTTTGACACCCCTGCATAACTTTTTGCTTCAGGAGAGCTATACAAGAGTTGGGTAGCATTTCCAGAGAACAGCCCCCAAATGACATTACAACTACAGTAAAAACTGCACCAGAGCACAGTTCCTTGGCCTCAAAGAGAGGGGGAAGAGACTACAGCTCAGCAACAGAGTTCACTTTTTGCACGCAGTAGGTCCCAGGTTCAACTGGATCCCAAGTGGCAGGTGATGGAGAAAGCCCCCTCATACCCCAGCCACGACCCATCAGATGCTGTGCTAGATGGACCAATGTTCTGACTCAGTTTCAGGGCAGCTTCCGGGTGGGTAGCCGCGTTGGTCTGAAGCAACAGAACAGAATTTGAGTCCAGTGGCACCTTTAAGGCCAACAATGTTGAATTCTGGGTATAAGCTTTTGTATGCATGCACATGTCATCACATATCTGATGAAGTGTGCATGCATATGAAAGCTTCTACCCAGAATTCAACTTTGTTGGTCTTAAAGGTGCCGCTGGACTAAGCCTTTGTTCAGGTACCTGAAGAAGTGTGCACGCACACAAAAGCTTATGCCCAGAATTAAACTTAGTTGGTCTTAAAGGTGCCACAGAACTCAAACTTTGTTCAGGGCAGCTTTGTAAATTTATGTTCACAGGATTAAGGATGACTAAATTCCCAGCTGCATGCCGGTTGTCCTGCATTTAGAATCTTGCCCTTTGCTTTCTGTTGGGACAAACCACAACAGATCTTGCAGGACACAAAGACCAGTTTGGGATTAAGGGCTCATAGGTGGAGGAGGGCAGAAGAAGAAGGAGAAGGAGAAGGAGAAGAAGGAGAGGAAGAAGAAGAAGAAGGAGAAGGAGAAGAAGGAGAAGAAGAGGAAGAAGAAGAAGAGGAAGAGGAAGAAGAGATTGGATGCATACCCCGCCCTTCACTGCCCAAAGGGATCTCAGAGCGGCTTACAAACTCCTTTCCTTTCCCCTCCCCACAACAGAAACCCTGTGAGGCTGGTGGGGCTGAGAGAGCTCTTGACAGAAACTGCTCTTTTTCAAGAACAGCTCTTATCAGAACTACGATTTGGTCAAGGCCATCCAGCCAGGTGCAAGTGGAGGAGTGGGAGATCAAACCTGGTTCTCCCAGATTAGAGTCTATGTACCTAACCACTACACCAAACTTTTGCTTTCACTTACCTGTACAGTTTAGGGATCGCGTGAGCTGCTGTCTTGCGCACGTAGGGAGACATGTCTGACGCCGCCTCCTTGATGGCCAGCATCATGATGGGTACAATAATGGGCACGCGGATGCTGGAGAGAACCCGGAGGGCACTGGCCCGGATCAGCTGGTTGGGGTCCTGCAGCACACGAGACATTTTCAGTAATAAACAACAGCCATACTAAGTCCACTTCTTCGGGACATCAGTTCTTCAGTTAAACCACTTCTTGATACGGCTGTCAAGATTTTCATTGAGCAAAACAGATCAGACTCCTTGAAACGTTAACCCTTTTCTGGCTGAGGCTCGGGGCTCAAGACAGGCTCCGGCAGCCTGAAAGATGCAAACTGCTGGCTTGTGTAGCCTCAATTTGCCTCAGGGATGTATGGGGATTGTTATGTATCAAGATGTAAAAGGTGGCCGTGGCTGCGCTAGTCTGGCCATGTGGTCAGGTGGACTCTCTGACCTTTGGTCTTAGGACAATAGCCCTCTCGGATCCTAGGGTGCGCCAATGAGCTCACCCAGATGCGAGAATATAACTATTGAAATGTAGACTTCTAACTAGAGCCAATCTCGGGTGATGGATGTGTGTGGGTGTGGTGATTGCTACACATATAAGCCGGGCATGGAACGGCCTGTTCTCATGCTTAATCTTGCGATGTAACCTAATATACGTATTGCTGATTCACTATGCTGAGCCTCCGATCTCAGTACTTTTCACTGGCGACGAGGATGGGATCCCATGAGCAGGCCTGACTCCACCACAACCACGAGCACCGCAGTGCCGACCACCACGGAGCCCGAGAGCTCCCTGCCTCGCCTCCCTCTAACTGACAAACCGCAGACCACTGCCGCAGCATCGTCACAACCGGCCCCTGCACCATCACAAAAAGTCATGGCTTCCGCTTCAGGACAACAGCTCTCAATGTTCGATCCGACCCATCCGGAGTATTGGGAGGCCTGGGTCACCCAGTTGAAACACTTCTTGAACATCTGCAGAGAGACCGATGCCGAACTCAAGAAGTCATGGCTGTTGAGCACATGCAGCATCGCCACGATCTGGTTGGTACAAAATCTCGTCGCGCCAAAGACGCTAGAGACCACCACCTATGATGAGCTGCTCACTGCCCTAACTAACTACTACACCCCAAAACCATTGAAATGGACCGTTCGGATGGATTTCCAAGCACATATGCAAAAGCCCGGAGAATCCACCACCGAATTCCTCGCAGACCTCCGCCGCTTTGCCAGCGAATGTGAGTTTCCCGCCCTAGAGGACAGTTCATCTGGGGAGTCTGCGAGCCAAAGTTAAGGTGGAAACTCATTGCCCAGACAGACCTGAAGCTCGACTTGGCAAAAGACCTGCAGGTTCCGCGACGCCATCTGCCAAACGTGTGGCAAACCAGGCCACATCGCCCGTGACTGCTGTTTGCGGGGAAATCACCGGACAGCCTCAGCACACCATGGGAAAACTGAACTCAAGTCCAGCATGATCAACTACAATCGGGTACATTACTTGCCCCAGGGGTCAGCCCGCAAACTGACAGTCACTGTATTGAGGGCGCTCCGTGTGAGATGGAGTCAGATACGGGCTCGTCACTTTCCATTATCTCCAAGGATACCCTCAGGAGGCTCTGCCCTAACAGGGGACTTACTCTAGAGACCACCGGCCTCAGGCTCAGAGACTTTCAGAGAAACCCCGTAGCGATCAAGGGGGTGGGCCAGTTCTGCATTCAGTACAAGGCTTTCGAAGGCCTCTTAGAACTGGTCATCGTAAAAGCCCCCCTCACCAGTTTGTTGGGCCTATTCTGGTTCAAGGTCCTTGGACTGGCGGTCACCAGGAACAACCAGGTGGACCACCGGGACTATAGTCACGTGTACCAGGAATTCCCGGCCATCTTTGATGGTGAGCTCGGCCGTTACACCGGTCCGCCAGTAACACTGGCTCTTGACCCAGCGATGCGCCCCATCCGGGTGAAAGCCAGACATCCCCTGCTAGCACTCCGGCCGAAAATCGAGGCGGAACTGGACCACCTGGTCAGCCAGAGGGTCTTGGAGCCCATTCCGCACGCCGTGTGGGAAACACCAATCGTAACACCCATGAAACCCAATGGGGCCATCAGGATCTGTGCAGACTACAAATGCACAATCAACAAAGCGTTACAGGACCACACATATCCCGTTCCCATGGTCAGCCACGTCCTCGCGTCCTTGGCCAGGGCAAGAGTTTTGGGGAAATTGTACTTGGCACAGGCCTACCAACAGTTACCGATAGACAATGCCATGGCCAAGGCGTAATCTATCATAACGCACCGGGGCACCTTTAAAGTGCAAAGGTTACAGTTTGGGGTGAGTGTGGCTCTGGGGATTTTTCAAAATCTGATGGACTCTTTGCTTAAAGGGATCCCCAGAGTACAACCCTTTTTCGACGACATTCTGATTGCGGTGCCATCATTGGAGGCCTTCGCCGACCGCCTGAGGACGGTGCTTCAGCGCTTCAACAACACTGGCTTGAAGGTAAAGCGCGAAAAGTGCCTACTCGGGGTTCAGAGCGTGGACTTCCTGGGATTCCAGGTCGATCCACCCTACGCAGGATAAAATTAAGGCAATACAGGATGCCCCAACACCCACCTCCAAGGCGGAGCTATATGCTTTCCTGGGCCTGCTTAATTTTTACCACGCGTTTCTTCCCCACAAGGCAGCCGTGCCCAAGCCTCTCCACAGGCTCCTGGACAAAAACGCACCATGGAAATGGGGCCCGAAACACTCCGCTTTCCGAACTGTCAAGGACTTGCTAGTTTCAAACGCAGTTTTAGCACACTTCAATGAAAATCTCCCCATCGTGCTCGCGTGCGACGCATCGCCCTACGGGGTGGGGGCGGTGTTGGGACACCGGTTACCGGACGGGCGAGAGGTACCGGTGGCACACTATTCCCGGACATTGTCGGCCACAGAGCGCAATTACGTGCAGATAGATAAAGAAGCCTTGGCCATTGTAGCGGGTGTCCACAAGTTCCATCACTACCTCTACGGCCGCCCCTTCTCTGTCATCATGGACCACAAGCCCCTGCTGGGTCTCCTGGCTCCGGACCGGCAAACGCCCCTAACGGTGTCGCCGAGGGTGCTGTGGTGGTCTATTTTCCTCGTGGGCTACCAATACAGCCTGCTGCACTGGCCTGGCAAAGCCATGGGAGACGTGGACGCCCTCAGTCGCCTCCCGATCCCCAGCTGCGACCCGGACCTGGACCCTGCACACCAGATCCTGTTGCTGGAAGAGCTGCCCAACCAGGCAATCCAGGTAACTGAGGTCGCCAAACGCACCGGTAAAGATTGGGTTCTCTCCCGTAGGTGGGGATGGACTGGGTGGGGATGGGCTGGCCCGCAGGGAAAGTGAGGCCGGAATTAGTAGCATTTGCGTCCCGCCGGGACTGTCCGCCCACAAGGGGTGTCTCTTGTGGGGTAGCCAGGTAGTCATCCCAGCTCCCCTACGTGAACGCATGCTAGCCACGCTGCACGAGACCCATCTGGGAATCATGTGCATGAAAGCCTTAGCGCGCAGCTATGTCTGGTGGCCAAGTTTGGACGGGGAGATAGAGGACCTAGTCAAATGCTGCCACACCTGCCAAGAGACCTGGCCAGCCCCCCCGCCCCCGGGGCCCCTGGTAATCTGCAAGCAAACTTTGGGCCTGCCTACACCTAGATTTCACAGGCCTGTTCCAGGGGCATATCTTTTTTATCCTTGTAGATGCCTACTCCAAGTGGCTCGAGGTCATGCCGGTCCCCTCAACGGGCCGCAATCAAGTCCATGTGGAAGATCTTCAGCACCCACGGCAATCCGGACACATTGGTCTCGGACAACGGGGCGACTTTCACATCCTTTGAATTCAGGAATTTTGTACGGTACTATGGGATCCAGCATCTAGAGCACTTTATAGTTTTGTAATATTATAATGACTCTTTTTAAAGCTGTTTTAACCTGTTTTATGTATTGGCATGTGCCCCATTTGTGAGCCGCCCTGATCCCGCTCACGGGGAGGGAGGGCTATAAATTAAAATAATAAATAAATAAATAAAAATCCGTTCTGCGCCCTTTCACCCAGCCACCAACGGACAAGCGGAACGTATGGTGCAGATGACCGAGGAGGCACTGCATCGGATCGTCCAAGGCAACTGGGACCACAGGTTAGCCGCCTTCCTGTTCAGCCAATGGACGACTCCCCACACCACCACCAGCCACTGTTCCACTGAATTACTTATGGGAAGGCGCCTGACGACCCGACTGGATCACCTGCACCCAGATCGGGCGTCCAACCATGCTCCGGGCCCGGAACAACATGACGCACCACGAAGGTTTTTCCCAGAAGACCCGGTATATACTTGTAACTATGCACGAGGGCCACCGTGGATCCCGGCCTGAGTAGTCCGGGTAACGGGGCCTCTCTCCTACGAGGTCTCGACAGAAGATGTCCAACTACTCCGCAGACACGTGGGCCAGATACGCCGCAGCTTGCTACCCATGGGCGAGCCACAGACGGGAGAGACGGGCGACAGAGAGACCAAACTGGAACCCGACGTGCAGAGCGGTGAGCCAACAGGAGGGGACACGGAAACCAGGCCAGCAACTGAGAAGACTCCAGTGCCCCACCCCGCTGCCGAAGATACGCCAGCGATACACCCAGAGCCAATAACCCAGCCGGAGGTTACCGAACACCCCCTGGACCATCCCACAACTGAGCCATGAAGATCGACTGGGGAACAGCAGCGCCCAGAGTATTTAAAGGACTACATATGCTAATACGTTCGAACTATGGGGGAAGGGGTGTTATGTATCAAGATGTAAAATATGGCTGCGGCTGCACTAGCCTGGCCATGCGGTCAGGCAGACCCCCTCCGACTTTCGGTCTTAGGACAATAGCCCTCTCGGATCCTAGGGCGCGCCAATGGGCTCGCCCGGATCCGAGAATATACCTATTGAAATGTAGACTTGTAAATAGAGCCAATCACAGGTGATGGATGTGTGTGGGTGTAGTGATTGTTACACATATAAGCCGGGCATGGAACGGCCTGTTCTCATGCTTAATCTTGCGATGTAACCTAATAAACATATTGCTGATACACTATGCTGAGCCTCTGATCTCAGTACTTTTCAGGGATGAAAGAGGTTTAACCCTTCAACATCCTCTTTGTTACAGTAGCTGAAACCAGTCCCCCCCACTCAGCTGATATATTTTAGAGGAAAAAGAAGGCCCTTAAGAATGCAGCTTTCCTCCCTTTAAAAGCTAAGAACAAAGAAGAGGGAAACCCAGTTTCAATTAGTAAAACAAAACTGGTATTTAAGGGTTAAACCTCCTGTCCCTTCCCAGCACGTCCCCAAGATAAATTGAGGCTGTACAAGGCGGGCACCTTGAATTTTATGCTGCCTGCAATTTGCATTTTCAGACAAGCATGACCCTTAACTCCCTCTTTGAGCCCTCAAGACAGCCTGATGCAGACAACCTCTTCCAGGTAGAAGGGAACAAGTTTGGCATACAAGTGTTGCCAGGGCTCTTTTTGTAGAAAAAGCCCAGCAGGAACTCATTAGCATAATAGGCCACACCCAATGCCAGAAACTCATTAATATATTAGGCCACACCCCTGCCAGCACAGCTCATTAGCACATTAGGATGCACCCCCATGTTACCAGAAGTGTGTTCATCCAGCCACACCCACCTTTTGCTTGTTACTCTGTTTACCTTATTTGTTGTCAAAACCCAGGGCTTTTTTTGTAGCAGGAACTCCTTTGCATGTTAGGCCACACACCCCTAAAGTAGCCAATCCTAATGAATTTCTGCTGTTGGGTGTGGCCTATTATGCTAATGAGTTCCTGCTGGGCGTGGCCAACTTGGGAGCCAGCCGGAACTCCGTTCCTGTGCGTTCCTGCCCCAAAATAGCCCTGAGTGTTGCTTACCTCCAAGCCCCTCTGCCGCTCTGACAACATTCGTGGCTGCATGAATACCCCAGGAAAACTCAGAATTCACTGGAATTCCAGTGGTCAGAGCTGACCAAAAAACTGGTTGTGGGCAGACAGATGGCTTGACAAAATGTCTTGAAGCAACCAAATCTTTTCTACAAGCACAGCTGACTGGGAAGACCCCTGTGCGCTTCCCAAACCAAAAACTGGAAATAAATAAAATGCACACTGGCTGATCTCCCAACCTGACGGAATCTTGAGCTCACCCACCCCTTGTCACTTCTCCAGCCTCCAGCCTGAAACCCCCATATGAGCCCCATATAATTGCTAGAGAGTTCCACACAGAACATTCTAACTAAACAGACAGAGGCCAGCTAGCTGTCGAAATAACTATCTGGCATACAGCAGCTCCACCCTAGTCTGTGCCACACACACACACACACACACCCAGGAAAACCCAGTGCCGCTCCAGTCTGACACCCCCACACACACACACAGACAGGGAACGCTGCAGCTTCTGACCTTGAGTCCTCGCTGGAAGGTAGAAATGGAGAGCAAGGCCAGATCTTGCTGTTCTTCTGCGTAACGGACCAAATAGACATAAACAAGCTTCTTGACCTGCCAGAGACACAATGCTGGTGAGACAAGCTTCCCCTTCCAGATGCTCACCTCTCTTAACAACCAGGGCTGATTTTCGATCAGGAAGCAGTGACAAAACGCAGCGAGGTTGAGAGCGGCTGATTGAGGCTCCACACGTGCATGGGGGGGGGCTCTTCTTGGACCCTGGCCCAGTCTGCAGAGGATTGCTTACCTCAATATTCTTGCAAGCCACGTTTTTCACCACGGCTGGGAAGAGGTCGGACGCATTCTTGCCTCTGGCGATCATCTGTGGGCAGGAGAAGAAGCAGTGGCAGAGTGGTCAAGACGTCGGCACTCTCAAGGTATCGTTCCCCTTTTAAATGCCTCTCTCCGCACTGGGGTCCCTCCCCATCTCCTCTAAGTCAAGTTACGCACCCGAGGCCAAACTATGCATGTTACATTGGTGGTCTGCAGGGCTCTAGTCGGGGGGGAGCTCTCAGGTACGGAGCTCCGGAAGAGAACCTCTAGGGGGCGGGGCGGTCACGTGGTGAAGCCCCGCCCCCTTCTTTACCCCGCCCTCTGCTTCGATCCTCATTCCGTTTGGGAATGAGGATGAAGCAGGAGGGTAAGTAGCCGGGCCTTCTGACACACTTCCGGTGATGTCAGGGGGTGTGGCCTTCTGTCACTTCCGGTGATGTCAGGGGGCGTGGCATATGCAAATAAGTTATGCTAATGAGTTATGCTAATGAGCTCCGGCAGCTCTTTTTCTACAACAAGACCCCTGGTGGTCTGCAACTGGATTTCCCCATATGTTTTATTTGCACCCTCAAAAGCAGCTGGGGTGTGTTAGACTGGGGCCACAACATTGGGCAAGATGGGGGAAACTCTTCCCACTGTAGCTGCTTTCCTGATCAAAATTACCCCCACCTCTTCAACTGCTAAAGATGTAATCTCTTTTATTGTGAACAGAAGATTATTGCTAACATTAGGAAAGTTCTTGTTCATTCGTTTAAAGAGAGAATCTATCCCAAAACACTGTATGGAGAAGTCTGAATTCAAGATGCCAGACTTGTGGAGAAGAGGAGGTTGAGGGGGCACATGATTCCTGCTTTTAAGTCTTTGAAGGGCTGTCACTTAGAGGAGGGCAGGGAGCTGTTCCTCTTGGCAGCAGAGGAGAGGACTCGCAACAATGGGTTTAAATTAAGGGTGGGAAGGTACCAGCTGGATCTTAGGAAAAAAGTTTTTACAGTCAGAGTTGTGCAGCAGTGGAATCAGCTGCCCACGGTGGTGGTGAGCTCCCCCTCACTGGCAGTCTTTAAGCAGCGGCTGGACAAACCCTTGTCAGGGATGCTTTAGGCGGAGCCTGCATTGAGCAGGGGGTCGGACTAGATGGCCTGTTTGGCCCCTCCCAACTCTGTGATTCTATGACTGTAATATTGATGTTTTATTGTCTGCTTCTATATCTGAAATACGTAACGCATCTGATAATACATCTGATTGTACTTGTTGTATGTAACAACTCATAATATTTGATAAACCCGATGAATCTATATTCCCCCCCTACCCCCTCTTCCATTACCCCCCACCTCTGCAATGACTGCAGGCATGGAAAGAAACCAGACACAGTCTCTATGGGGTTTTTTTGCCGTCAAGTCACAACTGATTTATGGCGACCCCCTAGAATTTTCGAGACAAAGAGAGGTTTAGAGGTAGTTTGCAACTGCCTGCCTCTGTGTCACGACCCTGATATTCCTTGGAGGCCTTCCATCCGAGTGCTAACCAGGGCTGACCCGGCTTTGCTTCCAAGATCTGACGAGATCAAGCTAACCTGGGCCATTCAAGTCAGGGCACAGTCTCTATACTGCCATCTTTTCTCTAGCACAGCCCACTGGAACAGGAAAGGCGACATTTCAAGGAGGAAAACTGTGTTTATCCATTTTAGAACGGATAAAAGGAAGTCCTTCTCCACCCAAAGAGTGATTAACACATGGAATTCACTGCCACAGGAGGTGGTGGCGGCTACAAGCATGGACGGCTTCAAAGGGGAATTGGATAAGCATATGGAGCAGAGGTCCATCAGTGGCTATTAGCCACAAGGTATAGATAGGGACTCTGGGGCAAGTGATGCTCTGTCTTCTTGGTGCTTGGGGGGGGGGTTTAACAGTGGGAGGGCTTCTAATGTCCTGGCCCCAATGGTGGACCTCCTGATGGCACTGGTATTTCTGGCCACTGTGTGATACAGAGTGTTGGACTGGATGGGCCTTTGGCCTGATCCAACATTGGCATCTCTTATGTTCTTAAAAGATCCAAGATGGCAATTCGCTTATCTCAATTGTGGACTACCAGTCCCTTTTTCCTGGGCGGGGGGAAAGGAACTCAGAGCATAGGGATGCCAGGGAGTTTCTTCACCCAAAGAGTGATTAACACATGGAATTCACTGCCACAGGAAGTGGTGGGTGCTACAAGCATGGACGGCTTCAAAAGGGAATTAGATAAGCATATGGAGCAGAGGTCCATCAGTGGCTATTAGCCACAAGGTATAGCTAGGGGCTCTGGGGCAAGTGATGCTCTGTCTTGGTGCTTGGGGGGGGGTCAACAGTGGGAGGGCTTCTAATGTCCTGGCCCCACTGGTGGACCTCCTGATGGCACCTGGTATTTCTGGCCACTGTGTGACACAGAGTGTTGGACTGGATGGGCCTTTGGCCTGATCCAATGTTGGTGCCTCTTATGTTCTTATGTGAAGGGAGTTATTCCCTTTTTTGCACAATCCAAGGCCAGACATTGCTTGATATCTCACTGCCCGCCCCCTGACACCCCTCCCTCGACAAACACTGAACGGCCTGTCCAAGACGGCCAGAACAGTGAGGGGAAGCAAACGGGTCAAATATGTTGGAATCCTGGCCACGGGGTGTCATTTGGATCTGGACTAGGGAAAAAAGATCTCCCAGAAATGGAGTGGGGGGAAACCATGTCATTAGAAGGAATGCCAGAGGCTCGAGTGCCCTGACCGGGATGGCCCAGGCTAGCCCAATCTCCTCACCAGATCTCAGAAGCTAAGCAGGGTCAGCCCTGGTCAGTATTCGGATGGGAGACCTCCAGGGAATACCAGGGTCATGGTGCAGAGGCAGGCAGTGGCAAAACTACCTCTGAACACCTCTTGCCTTGAAAACCCACCTACAGGGTCGCCGTAAGTCAGCTGTGACCTGATGGCGCTTTCCACCAAGGGGCTTGACTATACGTCCGGGTTCCTTTCCTATTTGTTTTAAACAGTGTTTATTTTCTTTTTTGCAAATGCAGCCCCCTGGGTTGCTTTATCGAGGCACAGAACCTTCCATCCTCTGCTCCCCTGTCATTGTCTTGCTCGGGGGAACAAGCTATATAAGAGCTGGGGTAAATTTACAGGGACCCATATTTTTTGCCTCAGTGATGGCAACAGCAGGTTGTCCCCTAAGAGGACAAATCCCAAGCCTGAGACCATAGTCAAGGAATGAGAAGGGGCTCACCGCGACAATCCTCTTCATGGCCTCCAGCTTCAGCGAATCCTTGTTACTATCCAGCATCTCCTTCAGGTCATCGTGTCTGCAAAAGACAGAGGGCAATGGAGGCCATGAGCAAACACCGGCAGTCCTCAATGGCACCTTAAAAGGCAAGCTGTGACTTGATGGCACTTTCCACCAAACAGTGTTTATTTTCTTTTTGCAAGGCCAGCAACCCCCTGGGTTGCTTTATCGAGGGACAGAACCTTCCATCCTCTGCTCCCCTGTCATTGTCTTGCTCGGGGGAACAAGCTATATAAGAGCTGGGGTAAATTTACAGGGACCCATATTTTTTGCCTCAGTGATGGCAACAGCAGGTTGTCCCCTAAGAGGACAAATCCCAAGCCTGAGACCATAGTCAAGGAATGAGAAGGGGCTCACCGCGACAATCCTCTTCATGGCCTCCAGCTTCAGCGAATCCTTGTTACTATCCAGCATCTCCTTCAGGTCGTCGTGTCTGCAAAAGACAGAGGGCTTTTGTCATGGCAATGGAGGCCAACTGGGTACCCGCGGTAGCCCACAGCAGAGCAAACACCGGCAGTCCTCAATGGCACCTCAAAAGGCAGGTTTATTTAGTGCAGCAGAAGCTTTTGCAGAGTCAGTGCCAGGATGCACAGCAACCCAAGTCATTCATTACAGATGTATGGAGTAAAGAGAGAAAAAGAAGTTCATTCAACAAAAGTGAGGCCAAACGGGCAACTTGCGGACATCTGAAAAGTTTTGATGCTGCTGTAACATCAGCAGCCTGTAAAGTTAATAGTAGATCGGAACTCTTGTGGGTTTTACTGTTTGTATCTAGTCATACTCTTCTGGGCTAACCAACTCTGCAGGATCATTGTGAGGATAAAATGGAGGAAGAACCATGCATGCTATTCTGAGCCTCTTTGATGAAGGGTAGGATAACAATGAACTAGAACAGATGCCCCTCTTGCCTAGTGTACGTGGACAGAGCAAGGAAATCTAATGTGTTCCCTTCCAGACATGCCCAATGGATACTGTGATTTAGTCTTTTTTGAGATGAAGTGAGTACTGACTTAGCCAAGGGGCCATCTGTGTCTCCAATCCTAACCGTTGTGTCAGACCAGGATCTGGGATAGTCAGGTTCGAATCTGCCACAGAAGCTTGCTGGGTGAGCTTTGGGCCAGACATACATTCTCTGCCTAACCTACTTTGCAGGGTTGTTGTGAGGACAAAATGGAGAAAGTGAGAACGCTGTGAGCAATGCTCCCTCTAAGCTGTGGAGTCCTGAGAGCAAAAAATTCTACTTTGTGAGCTACTGGCGTTAAAGTTGTGAGTGAGCGATTTGGCTGCTGCCTAAATTAATTGGCTCTGGAGCCATCCTTGCTGAGCCAAGACAAAAAAGTGTGAGCTGGAGGCTAAAGAACTGTGAGCTAGCTCACACTAACTCATCTTAGAGGGAACACTGGTTGTGAGCTTCTTTGAGTCCCTGTTATAGAGGAAAGTGGACATATATGAAACAGATAAAACCAGGGCTATTTTTGGGCAGGAACTCCCAGGAACGGAGTTCTGGCTGGCTCCTGAGGTGGCCACGCCCAGCAGGAACTCATTAGCATAATAGGCCACACCCAGCAGCAGAAACTCATTAGGATTGGCTACATTAGGGGTGTGTGGCCTAACATGCAAAGGAGTTCCTGCTACAAAAAAAGCCCTGGGTTTTGACAACAAGCAAGGTAAACAGAATAAGAAGGGAAAGATGGGTGTGGCTGGATGAGCACACTTCTGGTAACATGGGGGTGTGGCCTAATGTGCTAATGAGTGGTGATGTCAGGGTGTGACCTAATATGCTAATGCGTTCCTGCTGTTGGGTGTGGCCTATTATGCTAATGAGTTCCTGCTAGGCTTTTTCTACAAAAAGAGCCCTGGAAACATTAACAAATGTATCTTTGGTCATTATTGATCTCTGCCTCCCTTCTCTCTTTTTCCCCCCCGTTTTGTTTCCCAGAGGTAAAAACCTCCCACCGTAAGTTCCTCAGGCAGGGACCCGTTCCGTTCATACTCTAAATAAATTAATCATAGTATTATTGGTTAAGTATAAGCTCTCAGTGAAAAGTTAGGGAACTGTGCTTGCATGTCCCCCTCCAATTTTTTTTTAAATTGTTTTCGTGTTTGCACTGCTAATGAAACCCTATATTGCAAGCTTGGAATTAACGCTGGCTTTCCCAGCAGGCCTGGAGAACAGCTCCCGTGTTTCACGACAGGCTTGGAAATGTGTCATGGCTTTGTAAGCTTCAGAGTCGTCGCTCACACAGACCAGCGAGCTGCACCCACCCAGCTCCGATCACCCCAGCTGACGAAATGGCCAACTGCTCCATCGTTTCACTCTCTGCAATCTTCCCGGCACAAACCTACAGGCAGACACTAATTCCAGTAGCAAACAGACCGTTCCGCAGTTTCCCAAGAGGGTTTGTGTAACATGAGTGACTAAGGCGGGAGGCATCCCTCTGCAGGACTTCCAGCTTTCGCTGGGTCTTGTCGCCACACTACCTATGGCCCAGTCTCTCCCCCCCCAGAATCTTTACTGGGGTCAAAGTCCAATCCTCCTTGGTCTCCCCGGCATCCAGGGGAGCTCTAGAGCAGCCTGGATTTTCAGCATAGCTCCAAACCACGCAAAGGATGGGACAGAGCGAGAGAGAGACTCCGCTAAACAACCACGGAGGGATATGGAGCAAACCCGCACAGAGAAGGGAAGAGTTCTTCAGTGAAATCAGAGCTCTAGAGCTCCAGAGAACTTCCACCGGACCAAAAGCCCCCAAATGGAAGACGGGATGGCCAAGGGGGTGGTGGAGAATAGAAAACAACCTTCCAGTATAATAGGTGCAATTACAAAGGGAAGCCATCACCTCACAGGCAAACACTGATTTCTTGGCCCTCAGAGAAAACTCTTCTTGAAGAAGAAGAAGAAGAGAAAGAAGAAGAAGAAGAAGAGACAGAGGAAGAGACAGAGGAAGAGGAGGAAGAAGAGGAAGAGGAAAAAGAGGAAGAAGAGGATGAGGAAGAAGAGGCAGAAGAAGACGAGGAAGAAGAGGAAGAAGAGGAAGAGGAAGAAGAAGAGGAAGAGGAGGAGGAGGAAGAGGAAGAAGAGGAGGAGGAAGAGGAGATTGGATTTATACCCCGCCCTTCACTTGGAGTCTCAGAGCAGCTTACAAACTCCTTTCCCTTCCCCTCCCCACAACAGACACCCTGTGAAGTAGGTGGGGCTGAGAGAGTTCTTTCCAGAACTGTCTTTGAGAGAACAGCTCTGACAGAGCTACGGCTTGCCCAAGGTCATCCAACAGCTGCAAGTGGAGGAGTGGGGAATCAAACTCAGTTCTCCCAGATTAGAGTCCACGCACTTAACCACAACACCAGACTGTCTCCATACCACAGCCCCAGACCAGCCTTTTAACAGTATGGTTGACAACCTCCAGGTGGTGGCTGGAGATCTCCCGGCTACTAGTTTGGTGTCGTGGTTAGGAGTGGCGCACTCTAATTCCCCACTGTTCCACATGCAGCTGCTGCTGTGGCCTTGGGTCAGTCACAAGTTCTCTCAGAGCTGTTCTCTCAAGAGCTCTCTCAACCCTGCCTACCTCACAGGGTGTCCGTTGTGGGGAGGGGAAGGGAAAGGAGTCTGTAAGCCGCTCTGAGACTCCGAGTGAAGGGCGGGGTATAAATCTCCTCCCCCTCTTCTATTACAACTGACAGAGATCAGTTCCCCTGTAGAAAATGGCTGCTTTGGAGGTGGGCTCTATATGGTATTACACCCCACTGAAGTCTCTCCACCTTCCTCAGGCTCCAATCCCCCAAATCTCCAGGTATTTCCCAGCCCGGAGCTGGAAACCCTCGTTAACAGTGACAAAAGGGGTCTGGGGCCTAGGAGTCCTTCTAACATCAGCATATGGGTACAGGAACTTCCCGTCTCCATGCGGAGGGGGGGGACCATGGCCCAGCTGCAGAGCATCTGCTTTGCGTGCAGAAGATCCCAGGTTCAACGCCAGGCATCTCCAGTATCCGGGTGGGGAATGAAAAGGAACACCCTGTACATTCTGATTTCCTCCAGACCTTGCCCATAAGTGCATGTGGCAAAAACGGGAAGCGGGAACCATGGTAGAGCGCACTCCTGTTCCTTGCATCACTGTCTCCTTCCAGAAACTCCTGCTGTTTTCTGGTCCCAATTACTTGTCAGTCCCTTAACCACCCCTCCGTGGCCACAGAAAGCATTCTTGCATTGGAAAAGTCTGTTTGTTCGCCTCTGCTTAACAGCTGGAATCGAAAGAAGATGCTGGAGATTGTTTGGGAAGAGATCAGAACGCTGAGGAGGTGGAAGCCGTCTTCTAAGCCAGCTCAATGCAGGAAATATAAAACTGGAGGATTCCTAACAGGCGGCTGCCCAGTTTCTTCTGGAAGACCCCCAGCAAGGGAAGCCCACCTACCCCAGCTGATTCATGCTATAGTTCAGTTCTTCCAACGTTCAACTGAAATCCTGTTAGATCTCCTGGAGCAGAAAAGAACAAGTTTTTGACTTCTTTCATGGGACAGTCCTTCAGGAATTCACTGTCACAGGAAGTGGCAGCAGCTAAAAGCATAGAGGTTGGATAGACATCTGGAGCAGAGGCCCTTCAGTGGCTACTAGCCACAAGGTACAGAGGGAACACTCTGTCTGGGACAGTGATGCTCTGAATTCTTGGTGCTTGGGGGGGGCAACAGTGGGAGGGCTTCTGGAGTTCTGGCCCCACTGGTGGACCTCCTGATGGCCCCTGGGTTTTGGCCACAGAGTGACCCAGAGTGTTGGACTGAATGGGCCATTGGCCTGATCTAATATGGCTTCTCTTATGTTCTTAGGTATTTGAAGAGCACTATCATGTGTCTCCAACCTCAGTCTTTGCCTCTCTAGATGAAACCTATTATGAAAAATACAAAAAAAAAAGAGCAACCAAAATGATAAACAGACCAGGGCACCTTCACCATGAAGTAAAATTAAGAAGAAGAAGAGAAGAAGAGATTGGATTTATACCCCGCCCTTCACTACCCAAAGGAGTCTCAAAGCGGCTTACAAACGCCTTTCCCTTCCCCTCCCCACACAAGACACCCTGTGAGGTAGGTGGGGCTAAGGGAGCTCTTGACAGAAACCACTGTCCTTGAGAGAACAGCTCTGACAGAACTATGGCTTGCGCCCAAGGTCATCCAGCCAGGTGCAAGTGGAGGAGTGGGGAATCAAACCCGGTTCTCCCAGATTAGAGTCCGTGCACTCAACCACTACACCAAACTGGCTAGGAGGATCGGTTCATTAAAATATTATCGGAGGAGGGAATGATAGTGGTTTATAAAATTATGTATGGGGTGGAGAAAATGGAGAGGGAGAACTTTCTCTCCCATAATTCTCGAACGCAGAAGGACCCGATGAAGATAATAGGCCGTACACTGAAAGGAGACTGAAAAAAATAAGAAGTGAAGATAACGGTGTCTGGTTAGCTTACGGAACTCGCAGCCACAGGAGGCAGAGACGGCCACTAGCTTAGATGGTTTTACAAGAGGAGTAGACAAATTCACAGAGGATACATCCATTGACAAGAGCTCTCTGGACACTAACCAACAACAGGAGGAGGCGTTGGCCTCCATGCCTTGCTTGTAAGCCTTCAGGGGGGCATCTGATTGGCCATTGTGGGAAACAGGATCCTGGACTTTATGGACTTTGGGCCTAATCCCAGGGTGCTCTTCCAGTGTGTGTTCAGGGTGTGTTCAGATGGGCCGTTTAGTCCTCTTTCGGCACGCTTCAGTAACGGATTTTATATCCACGTTCACACACCCAACATCTGCGCACCGTCCCCAGCCGTCGCTTTCAGGCTCAAACCCCCTTTAAAACGGAGTATTTTGTTACCAGGTCCCCAAGTGATGTTTTCCTGATTCTCCGGTTCTAGCCACACTTTTCTGACGTCTGATCGCTCCTGCGGTGTTGAGCCACTTCCGCTCGGAAGTCCAAGGCTCTTCGCCCGTCATTTTATTTTAACGTCGGCGGTATGCGCACAGGCGGAGCTCTGCTCCCGCGTTATTAAAAGCAATGTTTAAACGGTGCCTAGTTTTGTTGGTTAGACGAGTTACGGATCTCACGGAGGCCAGTTTCGGGGTAAAAGTTTAAAAGGAAGTGTTCCTTTAAAGGTTAAAAGGAAATGTTACAGCAGTCGGGTTGAAGGGGAAATCGCTGTTCTGCGCACGTGCAAAAATTTTAATTCTACAGATGGCCGCCTGTGCGCATGCCCAAACTGAGAGAGAGAAAAACCACCGACGCACACTCCCACATGTGGATAGCGGGGAGCGATGTGGCTGCACAGCGATCCAAAACAAGGAGGTGAGTGTGATCGCAATTCTCCAGGTTAAAAAAACCCGCATCGGGACCGAAGCAATTTAAACCGCTCCCAGCACACCGTCTGACCGCACCCTTTGTCCAGCATCGTGGCCAGTCAGTTCCTCTAGACAGCCAACAACAGGGCATGGAGGCTGAGGCCTTCCCCTGATGTTGCCTTCTGGCTCTGGGATTCAGAGGTTGACGGCCTCTGAACGTGGAGGTTCCCTTTAGTCACTACGGCTAGTAGCCAGTGACTGAATCTATCTAATCCCCTTTAAAAACTCTTTATTCTTGTGGACATCATGACACCCTCTGCCAGCAATGTCCACATTTTAATCACTTGCTGGGTAAAGAAGTATTTCCTTTAGTCTGTTCTGACAAACTTCCCATGAACACCACACAGGATCCTGTACCTGAGTTCTTGAGAGGCATCCATTACTACTGTGTGCCGCTGACGTTAACACGTGCACTATATTCCAAAGCAGGGCCCCTCGCCCCACACAGTGTGTTACAGAACGATGCCTGCAGCCACGCCAAAGGGCTCCTGGAAAGATGTGGCCCTTGGCAGGTGACACACACAGGAGTGACAAAGACCACCACACCACAGGACGTAGGGGTCCTTCAAACACAGCAGCCCCCACCCCACCCTGGGCAACTTCAAGGGCCAAAGACCACGCCAGGAGCAGAGGCACCAGAGAGAAACCCGATCCTCCACGCCGGCTCCCCTGTCACAAAGGAATCCAAGCCTTCGGCAGCCTGTGAAATATTTATCCCCACCAGGAATTTGTTCACAGCAGCCTGAAAAAGGAACCCTTGGCTGAGAGGCAGTTGCCACAGCAACGTCAATGGGTAGGCATCTCACATGCCCTGCCCGCCCGCTGCACAAACGTTTCCCCCCTCAGTGTCAGGCGTTAAGCACCAAGCAGAGATGAGGTCTCACAGGAAGTTCACGTCATGGCCCTCCATCACCACACAGAGAGCCCTGGAGGGTCTGCGAGGCTGACGTGGATCCATTTCCTCACAACAGGCCTCCAGGGCAGTTGAGGCCTCTCCTCTTCCCACCGTCTCTAACTTTTCCCTTCAGAGGGGGGAGGGCTTCCAACCAGGCTGGAATCCTGTCCTCTCTGTGCCTCTCCCAGTGAAGGCAACAGTAAGGTCTGGTCAAGATGGCTGGAAATTGTGAGGGGAATTAAGGCCACTCAGAGAAAACTGATCTTTTTGCGCAACAGTTTTTTTAAAAACAAAAACAAAACACTCCAGCTTTCCCTCTAAGATGAGTTCGTGTGAGCTAGCTCACAGTTTTTTAGCCCCCGGCTCACACATTTTTGTCTTATCTCAGGAAGGGATGGCTCCAGAGCAAACTAATGTATGCAGTCGCCAAATTGCTCGCTCCCAACTTCAATGCCAGTAGCTCACAAAGTAGAATTTTTCCTCACAAGACTCCCCAGCTTAGAGGGAGCATTGTCCCACATCAAAGGCCCTAAACTTTGTTGAGCCTCCAGGCCCCTTTGGAATTCTGACTCAGCCACAAAATGGCTGCCGTGGGAGGTGGAACCAATCATGAGCATATCGGGAGCGAGGTTATATGTAACTCGAATAGTGACTTTTCAACAGTCCAGGCACACGTTCTGTTGAACAGGCTTCCTTTTAATTTACAAAGCCAATCAGAAGCCCTGCTGGGCAAAAGCCCCATCCGCTTCCCAAGAGCACTTGATGGGAGGCAGGAAAGGTGCCAGCGGGCTCTACACAAACTCTTGGATTTCCACAGCCCAGAGGCTTGGTTCAGACATACTCCTGACCCAAGCGCAGTATCAAGCAATGACAGGCACGTGAGAAGGAACTCTCATAGACAGGACTTCCATAAGACTTGGCATCACTTTGAACACGATGCCTCTGAAGGCCGAGCCGGTCTGCACATTTGAACGCACAGTGCCAAGTTGTGAGAAAGAGAAATCAGAGATGGATGCGCGAACCGTCCCTTGGGCCGATTAAAATTGCTCGCTCAGCTCATAAGCAAACACTGAGTGAAGGGTAAGTAAAGGTAAAGGTTCCCTTGCTCGAAAGCCAGCCGAATCCGACTCTAGGGTTGCGGTGCTCATCTCCGTTTCAAAGCCGAAGAGCCAGCGCTGTCCGAAGACCTTTCCGTGGTCATGTGGCCGGCATGACTAAACAACAAGGCGCACGGAACGCTGTTACCTTCCCACTGAAGTGGTACCTATTTATCTACCTGCAATTTCTTGCTTTCGAACTGCTAGGTTGGCAGGAGCTGGAACTAGAGACGGGAGCTCACTCCGTCATGCGGCAACTCGGGTCTCGAACTGCTGAACTACTGACCTTCCACAGCCTGCAGTTCAGCGTCTTAACCACTAGAGCCACCCCAGCTCAGGGTGCAGGACCGGAAATGTACCGTTGAGCTGCCATAACGCCAAACCCAGAGCTGAAGTGCATGTTCTATGCATGTTCTGTTGGTAGTAAACCCCACACAGACTATGGAGCAGATGTACAGAGTCAGGTTGTGCAACTGCCAAGTTAAGTGATGCTGAAGAGGTGAAACACGGTAAGCTGCATCAGAGGGCCGGGACAATTCAGGCCTCCCCTTCCCCTCTTGCTGGCTGGTGGTCCGAATTCTCCTGCTGCACCCCACTTATCGGGCACATCAGTGTCTACAATTCTGCGGCCCTTTTTAAGAAACAAAACTGCTTGAGCGCTCTGACTGCGTTTGCCTTCTGCATGGTAGATGGAGGTTTAGAACAAAGCCACACGGAGGAACCCTGGGTCGCCAGAGAGGACTGGACCCAAAGTCTCCAGCACAGGAAAACCCGGCCAACTGAACAGGCATGTTCACCTCCCGGGTAGCGATCTTGTGCACAGTGTGAGCCTGCAAAGAAATGAACTGAACGGCAGTGAGGCTGTTGAAGCAGCAGTCCTGAACGGCCTGAGAAGACTAGGAGGCGATGGATCTTGCAAAGAGACCTGCATGTTTTAAATATTTCGTTGTAATTACTTAGGGCTGCAACGCTTACTTGATTAACAGCACAATCCGATCCAGAGTTCCTCCACTCTATAGGAGCACACTGTGAATCGATTAGATTAACACATCAAAAAAAATTTTAATTAAGAAGGTGCCTAGAGCAATTAGGAAGACCATAGGGAAAAGTTTATTTCCAACGCTTATTTAAAACACACACAAGCAAAGAGGGCAGGCACCATCTTAGAAGGGGCACCCCCCCCCCATGTGGAATCCGGGAAGCCTCTTCTAAAATGATGCCTGCTGTAGCTCCCTCCTGAATAAATCTTTAAACTATGCTTTCCCCCTTAGAATTAGTGGAGGGAGATTTCCTCTAGTACAAAGGTATACCAATTAAATCACCTGATCAAATAAATAATGAACTATCGCGGGTCAGTGCTGGGATCAACTCAGGCAGGAAAAACTACCAGATCACAACCCCATGGCACACAACCGGCAGCACTCACCCACACCTGCAAGTTCTAGGGTTGCCAACTTTAAGTCAAGAAATTCCTGGAGACTTGAGAGATGGAGTTAGGGCAGAGGAGGGCCCTCAGCAGAGTATAATGCCAGAGAATCCACCTTCCAAAGCAGCCATTCTCTCCAGAGGGAACTGACTCCTGCCACCTGGAAACCAGGTGTGATATCAGTAGGTCTCCAGGCCCCGCCTGGAGGTTGGCAACTCTAGTAAAGGATTGGCTTTTTTTTTTTTGCACGAACAATACAAAACAGGAGCATTCAGAAGTTGCTCCTCCGAGCTGAGAGGTAGGAAGAAGCAAACACAAAAGACCCGGGAAAGTGAGGGGGGAAGAGCCTCTTGAGGACTAGCAACTTGGCCGCGCCCTCCTCTTCCTCCTCCTCGCGGCGGCCAAACCGCTCCTACCGTAGCGGCTGGGCCACGCTGCTGTCGGCGGCGCTCTCCTGCGGGGCGGCGGGCTCCTGGTCGGGGGCTTTCAGCAGCCTCATCTCGTCCCCCTCCAAGGCGCTGTACCAGGTCTGCGGAGAGCCGTCGGGCACCAGCACGGGGCTCTTGGCCTCCTCTTTCACTCCGCCGTGCTGGGACTTCACCAAGTTGGCCGCGCTGGCCGGCAGCTGCTGGAGCAACTTCTGCATGGCTGGAGACGCGCAGCCTCGCCTCGCGGGAGACTCCTGGACGGCGACCGCTAGAGGGGCGGCTGCTCAGGCTGAGAGTCCCCCGCGGCTGCGGCTCCGCTGCGCCGGAATCCCCTCCGGCGGGCTCAGCCACGTTTGCAAAACCCCAGGCTCCTGCCGCGGCTCGCCGGGTGGGCGTGCCTTATCGCGGCAGCCACTCCGCCTCCAGCCGGCCTGCCGCGCTCGCCGCCCGCCTTCGCCCCTGAAACCAGACGCGGCGGCAGCCGGCGAGCCCTCGACGCGGCCCGGCGACGGAGCCAAGGCCCGAGTGGCGACACCTGGCGGCCGCGCGGGAGACGCGCACCGCCGAGACCGCCGCACCAGTAAAACAAACGACATTAAAAAGCCAGGAGAAGAGATTTTTCAGTCCAGGCAGGGGCCCCTTTAAGGCCGACAAAGGTTTATTCGAGGTGTGAGCTGTCGTGTGCACGCCCACCTGGATTAAAAAGCCTGATTGGTCTGGAGGAATACAACGAAGTCTGAGTCCAGTGGCACCTTTCAGACCAACAACGTTTCATTCTGGGCAGGGTGGTTTTTTTTCTGGGGGAAAGAGCTGGAATGGGGTCCCAGAACCTCTTCAACAAAATTCTTTTAAAAACTTCATGAAAACTTCATTTCCTTCTTGAGAGTTCCAGCACCTCTTAAAAAAAAGAAGAAGCCCTGATTCTGGGCATAAGCTTTCATGTGCGCACACCCTTCTTCAGAAGATTTTTGGCTTGCGTGCACACTAAAGCTGATACCCAGAATTAAACTTCGTTGGTCTTAAAGGTGCCACTGGACTCTGACTTTGTTCTATTAGAAAGCCACAGCAGGTTTATTTAAACAAACTTGGGGATTAAAACCGTGCATGCCTCTTCGTAATAAAAGGAGAGCCAGGATGGTGTAAATGGTCAGGGTGTAGGCCTGGGTTCGAATGTCCACTCCACCATGGAAGCTCACTGGGTGACCTTGGCCCACCCTCTCTCTACCGAACCTACCTCACAGGGCTGTTATGAGGAGAAGATGGAGAGGAGGAGAGCTCTGGGTCCCCACTGGAGAGAAGGGGGGAATATAAGTTAAGTAAATTAAATAAAATATTGACTGCAACAAGACTGATGTGGGTATGAACTCTAGAGGTTATGTCTCAAGGAGAAGACGAGTTCTCTCTCACACTGGATGTTTTATGGGACTTCACCAATAGGTGTTTGGGGAGGGGGGAGGGGACCATAAGGGCTCCAGTAGAGGGAAGGATGGGGTGAGTGAGGACACCATCACTGGGGGGATCCTAACCTGTTGAGGACGTGGCCCCCAGGTGAAAGGAATTGGCCTACTTTAAATTCCCCATTTACTACACCTAAACTAAGCAGGAGTTGAACAGCACCTGGAAGAATGAGGAGGTTAATTTCAGCAGAAACTATTTCATCACCTAATAGCTGAAGGAGGTTTTTTTTGCTCCCTCGCAAACCTGACATTTTCCTGAAAACAACCTCCTGTTCTTAAAGCTGAAATTGCCCATGTCACAAATTAAAAGACTTTATTGGAAAAAACAACCACGGGGGTGGGTACTCTAGGTGGGGGGGCACCCACGGGCCCTGCCTTGATATGGCCTCATCCAGGCTCCTAGAAACACCAAGCCCATCGGCTCCCCCCCCCCGCAAGAAAGAGGGGGCTGGATTGTGCTTTCTCCAAGACCCAACAAGCATGTAGCTCGTGGAAGCTGGCATGGATGGGGAAGGGAGAACGACACCCTCCTGCATGGGAGTTAAAAACTAGTTCCTTTGAATGCGATTATAATATGTATTCTTATGGAGGGGGGTTCACAATAGATTTTATTGCAGGAAAAGTTCAAGAGCCAGCGTGGTGCAGTGGTTAGAGTGTTGGCCTAGGGTCGGGAAAGATCCAGGTTTGAATCCCTACTTTGCCACTAAAGCTTGTTGTTGTTGTTCAGTCGCACAGTCGAGTCCGACCCTCCGCGACCCCATGGACCAGCTCCCGCCAGGCCCTCCTGTCTTCCGTCGTCCTCTGAAGTTGGCTCAATTTCATGTTCGTTGCATCTATGACACTGTCTAACCATCTCATCCTTTGCCGTCCCCGTCTTCTTTGACCTTCAATCTTTCCCAGCATCAGGGTCTTCTCCAGTGAGTGCTCCCTTCTCATTTGGTGGCCAAAGTATTTGAGCTTCAGTTTCATTATCTGGCCTTCCAGGGAACAGTCAGGGTTGATTTCTTTTAGGATTGACTGATTTGATCTTTTTGCAGTCCAAGGGACTCTCAAGAGTCTTCTCCAGCACCATAGTTCAAAAGAATCTATTCTTCTGCGCTCGGCCTTCCTTATAGTCCAACTCTCGCAGCCATACATGACTACTGGGAATACCATTGCTTTGACCATGCGGACTTTTGTTGGCAGGGTGATGTCTCTACTTTTTATCATGCTGTTTAGGTTCACCATCGCTTTCCTCCCAAGGAGCAGGCGTCTTTTAATTTCATGGCTGCTGTCACAGTCTGCGGTGATCTGGGATCCCAGGAACGTGAAGTCTGTCACTACTTCCACGACTTCCCCTTCTATTTGCCAAGGAGTGATGGGGCCAGATGCCATGATCTTAGTTTTTTTGATGTTGAGCTTCAAGCCCACTTTTGCGCTCTCCTCTTTTACCCTGAGCAAGAGGCTCTTGAGGTCCTCTTCACTTTCTGCCATCAGAGTGGTATCGTCTGCATATCTGAGGTTGTTGATCTTTTCCCCAGCAATCTTAATTCCCGCTTGTGATTCATCCAGGCCAGCATTTCGCATGATGTACTCTGCATATATATTAAATAAGCAAGGCGACAATATACATCCTTGTCGTACTCCTTTTCCTATGCTGAACCAATCAGTTGTTCCATATCCGGTTCTAACTGTCGCTTCTTGGCCCTTATACAGGTTTCTCAAGAGACATGTGAGGTGGTCTGGTCCTCCCATCTCTTTAAGGACCTGCCATAGTTTGTTGTGATCCACACAGTCAAAGGCTTTAGCATAGTCAATGAAGCAGAAGTAGATATTTTTCTGGTACTCTCTTGCTTTCTCCATAATCCAGCGAATGTTGGCAATTTGATCTCTAGTTCCTCTACCTCTTCGAAACCCAGCTTGTACTTCTGGCAGTTCTCTATCCACGTACTGTTGAAGCCTAGCTTGTAGGATCTTGAGCATGACCTTGCTAGCGTGTGATATGAGTGCAATTGTGCGATAGTTTGAACATTCCTTGGCATTGCCCTTCTTTGGGATTGGAATGTATACTGACCTTTTCCAATCCTGTGGCCACTGTTGCGTTTTCCAAATTTGCTGGCAAATGGAGTGCAGCACTTTAACAGCATCATCTTCTAAGACTTTGAATAGCTCAACTGGAATACCATCACCTCCACTAGCTTTGTTGTTAGCAATGCTTTCTAAGGCCCATTTAACTTCACATTCCAGGATGTCTGGCTCAAGGTCAGTGATTATACCATCGTGGTTGTCAAGGACATCGAGGTCTTTCTTGTATAGTTCTTCTGTGTATTCTTGCCATCTTTTCCTAATCTCTTCTGCTTCTGTTAGGTCCCTACCGTTTTTGTCCTTTATCATGGCCAGCTTTGCATGGAACGCTCCCTTGATTTCTCCAATTTTCTTGAAGAGATCTCTAGTCCTTCCCATTCTATTGTTTTCTTCTATTACTTTGCACTGTTCATTCAGGAAGGCCTCCTTATCTCTCCTTGCTGTTCTCTGGAAATCTGCGTTCAGTTGGGTAAATCTTTCCTTTTCGCCTTTGCCTTTCGCTTTCCTTCTTTCCTCTGCTATTTGTAAAGCCTCATCAGAAAGCCACTTTGCTTTCTTACATTTCTTTTTCTTTGGGATGGTGGTGATTGCTGCCTCCTGTACAATGTCACGAACCTCCGTCCATAGTTCTTCAGGCACTCTATCTATCAAATCCAGACCCTTGAATCTATTCTTCACCTCTACTGTATATTCATCAGGGATGTGATCTAGGTCAAACCTGAATGGCCTCATGGTTTTCCCGATTTTCTTCAGTTTAAGTCTGAATTTTGCAATGAGTAGCTCATGATCTGAACCACAGTCAGCTCCAGGTCTTGTTTTTACTGACTGGATAGAGCTTCTCCATCTTTGACTGCAAATTATATAGTCAATCTGATTTCGGTGTTGCCCATCTGGTGATGTCCATGTGTAGAGTCGCCTCTTAGGTTGTTGGAAAAGGGTGTTCGCTATGACCAGTGTGTTCTCTTGACAAAACTCTGTTAACCTTTGCCCTGCTTCATTTTGCTTTCCAAGGCCAAACTTGTCTGTTATTCCAGTTACCTTTTGACTTCCTACTTTAGCATTCCAGTCCCCTATGATGATGAGGACATCATTTTTTGGTGTTAGTTCTAGGAGGTGTTGTAGGTCTTCATAGAACCGGTCCACTTCAGCCTCTTCTGCATCAGTGGTTGGGGCATAGACTTGGATTACTGTGATGTTGAATGGTTTGCCTTGGAATCGGACAGAAATCATTCTGTCATTTTTGAGATTGTATCCCAGTACTGCCTTTTGCACTCTCTTGTTGACTATAAAGGCCACACCATTTTTTCTACGAGATTCCTGGCCACAGTAGTAGATATAATGGTCTTCTGAGTTAAATTCGCCCATTCCTGTCCACTTTAGTTCACTGATTCCTAGGATATCGATGTTCAGTCTTGCCATCTCATTTTTGACCACGTCAAGCTTACCTTGATTCATAGATCTTACATTCCAGGTTCCTATGTAGTATTGTTCTTTGCAGCATTGGACTTTCCTTTCACCATCAGACACATCCACAACTGAGCGTCCTTTCGGCTTTGGCCCAGCCGCTTCACTCTTTCTGGGGTTACTTGTACTTGTCCTCTGCTCTTCCTCAGTAGCATATTGGACACCTTCCGACCTGAGGGGCTCATCTTCCGGCGTCATATCTTTTAGCCTTTTGATACTGTCCATGGGGTTTT